GCAAATATATTGCCTTCAAAAAAAAAACTGCACAGTTCCTATTTGGCTGAGGAACAGGGCAACAAAACAGTGTGGTGAGGCTCCATCAGGGAATAAGGATTTAGATTTAGTCCACTGGTTCTCAACCTTGGCTTACTCAGGAGTTGTGGACTGCAACTCCCAGAAGCCTTCACCACCAACTGTGCTGATTGGGGTTTCTGGGAGTTGCAGTTCAAAAACATCCGAGTAACAAAGGTTGGGAACCTAGGATTTAGTCTACCTACTAGAAGAGCCAATTGGAGCCGAATTAAAGCCAAATTAATATTACCTATCTTACCTATATTAATAATATTACCGATTACTTACCCTAAGTAGGTGTTTCCTCCGGCTTGCACTTCATGGTTTTGTGTCTGTCTCTCTGTGTTAAAGACCACCTTACCTATATTAATAATATTACCTATTACTTACCCTAAGTAGGTGTTTCCTCCAGCTTGCACTTCGTGGTTTTGTGTCTGTCTCTCTGTGTTAAAGGGGGGACATGGTGGTGCTGTGGGTTAAACTGCAGAAGCCTCTGTGCTGCAAGGTCAGAAGACCAGCAGTCGTAAGATCGAATCTATGCAACGGAGTGAGCTCCCGTCACTTGTCCCAGCTCCTGCCAACTTAGCAATTCGAAAGATGTAAATGCAAGTAGATAAATAGGTAGCATTACGGTGGGAAGGTAATGGTGGTCCATTTCTAGTTCTGCTGGCCATGTGACCATGAAAACTGTCTATGGACAGCTGGCTCTATGGCTTGTAAATGGGGATGAGCACCGCGCTCTAGAGTCGGACACAAGTGGACTAAATGTCAAGGGGAACCTCTACCTTTACCTCTGTGTTAAAAACACTGTTATATGTTGGCAGCCTAGACCACGGTAAATGGTGCTGAGTGCTAGACTTTTGAAGAACAACGCACACCTCTATAACATTCATCTTCAATGTTGAGATGATTGACTGATGGCCAACAAATACAATGGGCACATACAAAAAAGAACAGACACACCCAGCACCTTTGACCACTCAGAAGAAACTTGAATGTCAGCAATTAAGCTTCAGTTGCTTAAATTCCCTCATCTAGATTTCTATTTAAGGTGCAGACCCCCATCCTGTTTCCCACCTGCCCATCTTACCAGCAATCCAGTCTTCTGATGGTGGTACCTCCCAGAGATAAAACAAGACACTGGGAACAGGAGACGTAGGAGTCAACTGACTTTGACATGGTGGGATTTAGCTGAAGTAAGGCGTGCGGACACATATTCCGGAAATTTGAAGCAGGATTAGTGTGTATATTATCTGCTTTTAGGACTATACTTACCTATTTGGATGTTGCGGTTGTCCACTTGAAGATGGAACACATACCACAAAAAAAAAAAACCTAAATAATCAATGTTCTCCCTTTCAAAGGAAAGCTCTTTCACCTTGACACAGAATTTCAGAAAAGAGTACCGGACACATATTCCGGAAATTTGAAGCAGGATTAGTGTGTATATTATCTGCTTTTAGGACTATACTTACCTATTTGGATGTTGCGGTTGTCCACTTGAAGATGGAACACATACCACAAAAAAAAAAAACCTAAATAATCAATGTTCTCCCTTTCAAAGGAAAGCTCTTTCACCTTGACACAGAATTTCAGAAAAGAGTACTTAACAACACAGTTGTGGTTGTCCACTTGAAGATGCAACACATACCACAAAAAAATCCTAAATAATCAATGTTCTCTCTTTCAAAGGAAAGCTCTTTCGCCTTGACACAGAATTTCAGAAAAGAGTACTTAACAACACACTGCACATTCCTGCACTTTCCCCCTTCCCCATTGTATGGGACTGTGCTTCCTTTTGTGCTTTGGAGTTCTGCAAGATTATCGTAAGAACTTTCAGTGCAATTTATATTCTGACTAGAGATGGGCATGAACCACCGCTTGGGTGGTTTGTCTATCAGTCCAACAGCTGTTCTGCAGTTCTGAGCCCCGCCTCCTCAGAAAGGCACCCACTCAGAGGCAGCGCCTGGAGGAGGTGGGGCAGGGAAGTTTGGGCATTGCCTCTGAGTGGCCACCCATTGGAGGAGGAGATTTGTACCCACCTCTAATTCTGACACAGAAGATTATTCACTTTGCATTTCCATAATGCAAGTAATGGGCTTCAGCTTTTGTGGTGCAGCAGATCAGCATGTTGGGATGCTGTATAATTTAATTGTATGGAAGACTTATAGTGGGCACAATTTGAGAATGTTCCTGTTTGTTTTATAAGTAATACCACATTGTTATGTGCCATCAGGTCACCTCCAACTTATGGTGGCCCCATGAATGAGTGATCTCCAAAATGTTCTGTCCTCCATAAGGGTCAAAAGTATGACACTCGAATAATACTATCAGAGAACATTTATACTCTCCCTAGGTAGTTTGAGTCTGTGGCAGTCTATAACAGTTAACATTTACCCCTGAAAGGGGATAGCAGGTGCATAAATAACCAGTGTGAATCAAATAATTGTATGTTAACATTTATCCCTGAAAGAGATAAATACCAGTGTGAATTAAGTAATCGTGACAATCATATCAAAGTTCTTTGGGGCATCAAGATCTATGTCATTTCCTTGCTCCTGCCTGTTTCCAAGCTATCTTAAGGACTGTGTCTCCCGTTATGAACTTGCATGGGTGTTAAGATCATCAGGAGAGGTATTTCGGTCCCAGCACACTCACAGGTGTGCTTGGTGGGGACACGGGAGAGGGTCTTCTCTGTCGGCTCCCAGACTTTGGAACTCCTTCCCACAGGAGCCGAGGCTGGACCCACCATTGCTGTCCTTGCACAAAGACCTTTCTCTTCAGTGTCCCTTAATGTCTCGTGACCTGACTGGGGTTTTGAAGTGAATTGTTGTGCTTTGAACGTGTTTTGGGGGTTGCTTTTGTTCACTGTCTTTTAGTGTGCTATTTGTAAGGTCCTTTTTAGTTTATGTATACTTAACTGTTTTTAATCTTTAAATATTGTATTTTATGATACAAAGCAGCTGAAGGGAGGAAATTGCAGCAGGGATAGAAGGGCTGGAGCTGGAGGAAGACAAGGAGATGTGGGAGGAGGGGGATCCCGTTCTCTGTGCCACCACCGGGGTGCAGAGTGAGACAGAGGATCCCTGGAGCGATCTCCTTCCCTCTAGCACAGTGGTTCCCCAACCTTGGGCCTCCACATGTTCTTTGACTACAACTCCCAGAAGCCTTCACCACCACCTCTGCTGGCCAGGATTTATGGGAGTTGAAGTCCAAGAACATCTGGAGGCCCAAGGTTGGGGAACCACTGCTCTAGCACATTTGGCCGTGGGAAAGGCTGAGGTCCTGGGGCCTCAACGCTGCAGTCACCCATGAGTTCTGCACCTCCACAGCTGCCAGATGGGACCTGCAGCGCAAGAAATTTAATCCAACTTGGTAGCAATTCACTTAAAGGCTGGCGGAAGCAAGGATTTGTTTAGCAAAACCCTAAAGCCTATGAGATTACATTGGAGAAGTCGTGCTCCACCACTCAAGATGCACCATGTGCTGCTTTAGATTGATGAGTGCAGGGAAAAAGTATAACAACACAGGTGTTCATAGGCTTGTGTGAACTGCATCCATCATGTAACTCCATTTCATTACCAGATTATTTCAGCTTCTTTCCAATCGGTGGCTTATCTGCTTCCTGCATTCCTATTCTTTGCTTGTTCATGAAATCCTAAATAGCTTTCCAGTATTTTGAGCTCCATTTATCACCCCAAAGAACCGTTACTCATTCCTCTGTATGCATGTGCAGGGTGTGATTATGTGCATAGCCATGGCTGTCTGGGAGGCCAGGGCCAAGTGAGTGTTTCAAGTGAGGCAAGATGGAATGTCTCCAAAGAGCACAGGAAGCCGTATATTATTATTTCCTTGATTTCCATAGCAAAACAAACTTCCAGGTATGTGCATTTGAAAAGGCAACTTTAGGGAAAGCACAAGGTCCCTTCCAGTTCTGCAGTTCTAAGATAAGCTTAGATTAATGGAGAGCTTTGTAGCCCCCCTCCCCGCACACCACACCACCCGTTTTAGGTCCCAAGGGCCTTCACCTGCGGGAAGCCTTTGTAGCTTTGGAATGCGAAGTGGGGGGAAGCCCTTAATGGTAAAAAGGTCCTGGGGGCTGATCTTGATGACAGCATTCCAACAGTGACGTTTTACTATTAAATTAAAGGCTCCCACATCCCAAAGGAGCCCTGGAATGTGAAATAGGGTGGTGGAATAAGAAATATTCTATTAGTTTAAATTAAATATTTCCAGTGCCTCATCTGGATTATCCTGGTTTAAATTTATATATATCATGATGTTACCTCATGGTGCAGTGGGTAAATTGCTGTACTGCAGCTAAAACTGTGCCCCCGACCGGAGGTTCAATCCCAGGTAGCCGGCTCAAGGTTGACTCAGCCTTCTATCCTTCTGAAGTCAGTAAAATGAGTACTCAACTCGCTCGGGGGTGGTGGTGGCAATGTGTAGCCTGCATAATTAACTTGTAAACCACCCAGAGAGTGCTTTAAGTGCTATGGGGCAGTATATAAGCAGCACACTTATGCTTTACCTAATATCTTTTATTTTTCAAGCAGAAGTCATTGGAGGTCTTTGGAATGCCTTCCCAAACAACATGCGACTGGCGGCAACATTACTGACCTTTTGGTGCCAGCTTAAAACCTTCATGTTCCGGAAGTTTTTTTAATTGAAACTTTTAATTGGAGGGTTTTAATTTTAATTAATAAGTCATGGATCTAGATTGTTTTTGTATATTGCTTTCATTTTTATTTTTGCTTTTGTAGAGTGGATGTGGCTGTATTGGTTTTTAGTGTCTGTTTTTAACTGAACTGTTTTAATTGATGTTGGAAACTGCCGGAGACTCTTGCAGAATGCGGGCGGCATACAAGTCAAATAAGTAAATACATACATACATAAACAAACAAACAAGTAAACAAACAAACAAACAAAGTCTTTGTTGCAAGGGTCTGCATGGTGTTTTTTTGTCATTTTAATATTGTAAAAAATAAATGAATTATAACCATTACAAATATATTGCAAACAGACCATTTTTGATTTGATTTTGATAACAGCTTGACAAAACGTTGAAAATAAATAAAGAAAATACATCAAATTTTGTACATCAGAATTCTGGAGAGCAGTGAAAGACCAGCACACTGGATTTTGTACGTTTGGTGTGGTTTTCAGAGAAATCAACTTGTTGTCACAATAAGTTAAAATATACATATATATTTACAGACACGGTACAACATACAGGTACGAATGTTTCCTTTCTGAATGCTTGATATACAAAGAGAAAATCTGAATGCCAGCATGACCAATTAATCCTCTGGGCTTCAAATGGGCAACACAAGCAGGCCGATTGCAAAGAAAGGTCCCCATCAAAACAAAGCACTAGAATTAACATAACGCCACACAAATTAGGCTTGATTTTCAAAGCAAAAATATTTCCAACAAGTAAGTCAGTTCTAAGGCTGCAGGAGAGAACACAGACATTAGTTTACATGTCTTGATGCCAACATATTTTAATCCATTATTACTGCACCAATCCAGTAAAGTTAAATTAAATCTATTATCAGAAGAAAGGGGAGGGAAAGGGTTTTATACAAGCAGAGCCCTGGGCATGTTATTTCAAGATATTGCACTTCTAGTACCAGAGGGTTTGACCTAATTGTGAAATTGCCCTGCTACATTGAGGCCTAGTATAAACAGGCTGGAAAGTGATTATTGGTGAGCTAATTGTCTGGTTCTCAAGGAAAAAAAAAACCCTGCCTTATTTTATTGTGAAGTGCACGTAAGAGGAATTACTTCTAGACCGCAACCCTATGTCCATTTCACTGCAAGTACATTTTGTTGGAAATAATAGTCCTTACATCTGGATAGTTACGTATAGGGTTGCAATGCTAACCAAATAGATGTTAGTTTAAAATGTCACAACTTGATGTCTGTATAAATAAAGAAAAAGGACAAATAATGACGCAGTCTGCAGTTTCCTAATGATTATTCACAAGGAATTTAAATCTACTCCATATTCTGGTAATACATTTTACAAAAGCAGTATATCAATTCAGAAGACCTTTGTTGCTTACCAGAAAACACTTAACTTTCTTTATTCCTATGAGCATTTTTCTGATATTAAGCATTCACTGGGTCTGATCCTGTATCTTTTCCACACCTACTGTGTATCTCTGCCACCAAGATATCAAGGCATATGGACCAGCTGCAGGATCAAAACCTCCACTGTATTTTTATTGAATACGCATAGGTGCAGCATACACAGCCTCTACGTAATAATATTGTTCACTAGTCATCTAAATAGAGAGGGGGTTGTCCCAGGCGGGTGGCATTTCTAAAAACAGAGTAGAGATTCAGGACATAACAGCCTCTGCCAGTTTTTCATTCCTACAAGGCAAGGGTGTCACTTCTCTTCAACATGGAGAGGATGACATCTGGTCATAATCGGGACACTTAAGTAGAGCAGGATAATTGCTGTTCATCTGGAGAGAAGCGTCGCTGGAAATGTCAGAAGGGCTGCGTCCACGAACCCAGGCATCGGGGTGTAGGAACTGGCCAGAATAATCAGAGCAGTTGCTGAGACGTGGACGGTAGAAGCCAGGATGAGGCCGGTACATCTCTTCCGCAGTGTATCTCTTCATGAATAGGTAGACAGACATGACACCTGCACTCTGAAGGAGGGAGAAAAGAAAGCTGGCATTTATACAGGGTGCCTTTAAACTCTTCAGTAATAGGGTACCGTACCTTACAAATTCAAAGGCTGGTCATAATACACTTCCTCTCAGGCTTGCTTTCTTCTTCAAGATTCTATGTTTACCTTCAGGTGAACTGGCATATGCTGGGTCTTTAGTGGGGGCACTGAGGAGATTTAGTTGTTATTGTTTAGATGTGAGGCTTCTGGGAGATCTGAAAAGCAGCTTTTTTGCATATAATTCAAGAAGACGTTCCAGTTCCAGCATGAAGTTTGTTTAAAAAACAAACCCCAGAAACCAGGGAAAAATGAGGCTCCTTGATCCTACAGGTTATTTCAATCAGCAATGCATTACGTGCGCTTCAGTAGTGGGCATTATTTTTAGTGAATTAAGTAGGATGGAGCAACTCCAATGTGATTTACAGAAATCGCCAATATTCCTGTTCGACTGTTTATTACCGCTAACTACGTACATGGGGGAAGAGAGGTAGAGTTTTCACTATTTTGTCCCTATCCCATCAGAGGGGAAGCTGCTGTATACAGGAAAAGGTTGCATCTTAGAGCCATTGCAAAAGAGGATTGTGCCCCTATTTGGGAATTATACATTCTTACGTTCATTACCATGCTGGCCTTCTCTGTTGTCAAGTTCTTCACAATCTTGGCCTCAGGGATAAAGAGGAAAAGGCTCCTGTTTGTATGTAGGCTCTATAGGTGAGCAAGAACCCAGATTTTCTAAAGTTCTTGCTCACATGCAGGGCCTCCATGTGTAGAGCAGCCTCTCCACTTCAGCTCTGTTGTTGCTCACATGAGTCAGGCAAGGCTAGTGGGCACAGAACTAGCCTCTTCCGCTTCAAGTGTACTGACCGAGCCAGAAGCGATGTGTCTGAACAGGGCTTTGGCTTCTTTTGTACAGGGCAGAGACCCGGTTATATAAGCCACTTCTTAACTGTGGGGTATATTGAGGGATTGTGGGAGAGATTTTGGTTCGGTTTGTTCCCCCAACCATTCATTCTTAGCAGAAGAAGGGAGAGCTCACACCATTTTTCTGTGATCCTAGTTGTGACATAAAACTATCCAAACATGGAAGCCGAAGGTGGCCAACTCAATGTAGGCAACAGCCTTGTGTTGTCAGTGTAATTGTCAGGAGAGAAAGGTAGCAAGTTGGGACTCTGGTGGGGGGAAGGATGGGATGGTTTCAACATACGCTTTGATGAGCTGCCACTTTGCCTACATAAGTGTTCTGGTGCCAAGTTAAGCTTTTGGCAGAAAGTAGCCACTTGGGATTCTGCATCCGCCAGCTAGCAGATGCTTCTCGCAGAAGCTCTTTTCAGTATGATCAGAGTTAAACTTCTCTCAGCCTTCTTGGCAGTGAAAGGGACACACCAGTTGGAAGGCTCATCCAAAAGCACGATTTTGTGGTTTGCATGCAATTTCAAAAAGCAATTAATTAGCGACCATAAGCCAAGCAATTCCTTAAGATCAAGCCAGTCCATATTTTGGCCTGACAAACACCTTCCCTCCCCTGAGAGAGGAAGCCATTTGATTGTGAGATATGCAGTGGAGCAGCCAAAAACCACATACACACACTTCTTGGTTTTAAGGGAGGCTCACAGTTCCATTACTCGGCTCCTAATTATTAAAGGCATTCTTGGTGTTTGGATGGCAAGGAACAGTGAAGCCTAGCTAATAGATTTAAGAGGAGAGGCTGCACATTTAAGCACTGGGAATGGCTGACCTATTCCTTCTCTTCTTGCATAGCAATACACCCCACATTTTCTTGATCAATTATAATACTAATTACATGCCATCAAGTCAATTCTGACTTAGGGTGACCCTTTCCAAGGTTTTCTAGGTATAGAGTACTCAGATGTAGTTTACATTTCCCTTTGTTTGAGGGTATTCTGGAACCGTACAGCTTGCCCAAGGTGACACATGCTAGCACAATTGGGAATTGAATTCCCAACCTGCTCTAATGAATTAAACAGGGCTGAGCAACCCCAATGTGATTTACCAAAATCTACAACACTTCCCTTTGACTGCTAATTGCAGCTAACTGTGCAGTCAGATACCCAACTCACTGAGCTATCCAGCTGTTCATACCCATCTTCAGTAGCCATTTTGTAGTGTGACCAAACCCATTCTGGCTAAACAAGGACTAAGTGTGCTACAGAACCCCCACTGCCTTAAAAAAAAACTTCCTAAAAGCAGCACTAATAAACAGGCATGGAAGAGATACAGCAAACCTGGGTATGAAGATGTCTAGAAAGTTACTCATCTTCAAAACACAGGAAACTAGGAACTACAATCCCAGGGGTTGGACCCAGGTTCTTTTCTCCTTGCAGGAAAACTTATTAAGCAGAATTCCATTCAAAATACTCAGAACACTGGGTGGTGGTGGCAACATTTGTCAAGTTCCTTCTCTCTCTTCAGTCCCAATACTCTAAGCAGAATTCCATTCAAAATACTCAAAACACTGGGTGGTGGCAACATTTGTCAAGTTCCTTCTCTCTCTTCAGTCCCAATACTGCCTCCTTTGATATTCTGATAGGTATACTTCCCAACCTTGGGTCCCCAGATATTCCTGGACTGCAATTCCCAGAAGCCTTCATCACTAGCTGTGTTAGCCAGGATTCCTGGGAGTTGCAGTCCAAGAGCATCTGGGGACCGAAGGTTGGGAAACACTGCTCTACAGAACAGACTTTTAGGAGTCGGGCATAGGGGATTGCAAGAGGAGGAGGGAATTTACAAAGATCAAAGCTTCTGCCAGTGGAGATGTTCCGCTCATTCAGGAGCCTTCTGTGAACAGAAGGAACTCTCTGAGAGACAGCCCTGTTCTTCCACATATGAAACAGAGCATGTAAGATTCCCTGTGTGCAAACAATTCAGTTGGAATAATCAGAACTGGAAACAAGGACATTAAGAAAAATAGCAGTAAAATGTTCTGATGCAGCAAAACCAGAAACGAAAAAACAAATAAATCCTGCATTTGTGACATGCTCTTGAAAAACAGTGAATTATTGGGAGCTTTGTGTGATATGTACACTATTAGCTCTGGGGTTGGGGTGGGGAGAGCCTTTGGCCACTATGCTGACATTCATTAATCAGTATGTCAGCCTGATCTTCCTTCCCTGCAAGCAAATTTAGGAAAGGTGCTATCCTCATCCTCAAAGTGCTATCAGAAAACACTACTGCAGAGATGTAACATTGTGTGTGATGTGCTGTCAAGCTGAAACTGATGTACAACAATCCTAATAGGGCTTTTGGGGTAAGAGAGAGATATTTAAGGAGTGATTTCTCCACTTTCACACTCCCCCAAGAGCTTCCATGACTTAGTGGGAATTTTAATTCAAGACTTGACTCTATCCACTACACCACATAAGGTACATAGTGATGTGGTTATAAAGAGACATACTGACTCATACATTGAAGAGGTACTGCATGATAAAGGGTTATGAGAAACCCCAGTATAGCAGAAATTGCCTAGAACTAAAACATATCATAAACATTTCAAAATCAGGTTTTGAACTCGCTCTTTGCAACTGTGATTCTGATGTCAAAAGGTAACACCAGCTTAGGACAATGATGATGGCAGTCCAGAAGCTTTAGATACAAGTCTATGGCTTCACTTGGTAGAATGAGCAGTGCAGAGGAGTTTGAGGAAGCATATGGTAAGGGTGATTAACCACATTGTGAAGCAAATGAAATAATAACTATTGAATTAGCAGGGGGAAGGTCCCTATAATAACAGAAAGCTCAGAGTCTTAAACTGAACCATTGTCCAACGGAACCATGACATGATCTTTTTGAACTTAAACTTGAGTGTTTAGGGTGCATTTCACAACTATATGCAGAAATATTTTCTGAATTGCTCCTTGACGCATGCATTGCACAGTTACCATGGAGCAAGGCCATGCCTGTAGTCTTGCTTTCACCATTGGACATGCTGCTGATTGTACTCTCAGCATCCATGCACTAAGTAGAGAAATAAAGAATTAATTTTGCTGCAAAGCTTCCACCCCTCCTAAAGACTCTCCTAAAGAACTGAACTTCTTGCAGGTAAGCCAGTGAACTCATGACCAGTCTTACCTCTGTCAGGAGAAAGGAGATAGCAGAGAAAGCAAACGACCATCCGTATCTGTATGTGAAGTAAGTTTCGGAGTCCTTGGTTCTGTTCAGCATTTCATCATTAATGCTGGAGATGTACAAGACGAGGCCCACAACCAGAGATAAACCTGAGAATGCAAGAGCACTGAGGTCAAAGTGATATAAGAAGTGAAAGGTATACATTTCCTTCTGTCTAAGACAGGTGAGGGGAACTTATAGCCTTCCAGATGTTGTGCTACTACTACTACTACTGATGATGATGACGTGAGGGGAAATTATAGCCTTCCACATGTTGTGTTACTACTACTAATAATAATGATGATGATGATGATGTTCCATCAAGTTCATTCTGACTCATGGTGATTCCCTAGGTACAGAGTGATTTTACTGTTCCGTTTTTCTTGTGGTACTCTAGGGCTGTGCAGCTTGCCCAACACTGAACAGGCTGGCTCCTCTCCTGGCAAGAACAGTGGGGAATCAAATTCCCATTCCCCAGAGGCGCACCAACTCGCTGAGCTATCTAGCTGTCCATTCTGGAACTTCTGCTCCTATTGTCCCTGATAATTGGTGATGCGGACTAGGACTAAAGGCATCTGCATTGAGAAGCAAGGTCCTGGGTAAATGTTAGCCTTTGGACCGGCAGTCGCTCATGGAGAAAGAAGCACCCTGTGTTGAATTAAGCAACAGACACATATTCTTAGGTTGGGTTCTTGGAACTACAAGTAAGCCATGTAAGTAAAAGCTTTTAAGCTCTGCAATCACATTTGCTTGTTGAACTTTCTCTTAATGCTATGAATAAAACATGGGATTCTCTTCTCAAATGGAAAAAAAGCTCAGTTCTTAAGTTTCAGACTTCCGCCCTAACTCAAGGTGGTCATCTGAACCAAATACTGCTTTGCAGGAAAGGAAAGGAAAGTGGGTCTGTAACTGCATGGATATGAAGTGGCCCATTTAACAAAACTGTTATAGCAGCAGAGGTCAAACACCACAGGAAACTGCAGCTGCTATGGAGTTCCTTTCCAATGGATACTGTGAAATCTAGGCATGAGCCCTTTTTGGAAGCACTGCGACATTCACCAGTAAACAGACCTGCTATAGTAGTATTAAAAGTAGTACATATATTTACAATGGAACATCTAAGGTAAGTAAATAAGGTCTTTACATGGTGCCATAAGATGGGTGCTAGGTGGCCATAAAATGGATGTCATTCTAGAGAGGAGAGGGCTGGAGTGCCAGCTTAAAAAAAAAGCTCTTCCTTGGGTAATTACCTGCTGAATTGACTTGGAGAGGGATATTTCCTTGAATCCATCTAAAGATATGTGCAATAATTCAACATGTTGAGAAATAGGAAGAGAGGCTATGAGATTGACAATATGGCAGAGCAAAAATCTGTGTATAGTGCAAAACCATGCAGCAAAAACAAAACACCATCCCAGCAATCATTCTGTGCAGTTTTCTGGAATCTTTGGCACAGCTTTAACAGGGCCATGGAAGAAGACAGAATACTTGCAGAATCAGGCATGCCTCAGCTTAGGCATTCAAAATCCTGAATTTTGAATGAAATCACCTCAATGTGGACCTTCTATATAGGAGGTCCAGAACAAAGCAGAATGACTAGATTCGGTTCCAGAATGAAGCTAAAGTGTTGAGCATGTACAAAACTGATCTGGAGATTTGAATGTCTAAAATGAATGTGTGTGCGTTTGAGAACCCTGAAGGTAGTGTGATTGGGTTTGGCTTTGCCCAATGAAATTCGAGGCAAGCATCTAATAATTGGTAGAATGTAATGTGTGAAGTCACAAGTTATCTCACCAAGCTCTTTGTCATTCTTTTGCTAGTTTTAGCAGTGTTAGTATGTAGTCTGGTAGAAAGGTCTCTGACAAACAGTTGTGTTGACAGTAGGCTGAGCTTCACCTAAGTCATCTCCCTTGTCTTGTCTTGTTAATGCCACTTTAGCAGCATTTTGCTTAATCCTTCTTTTGCCCTTATAATTTGTTTGAGGGGTAGTATATGTTTATTTTTCGAGTCTCGGACTGTGACTACATGGTCAAATACCGCAAGATTTGCTTTGCTTATAAAATGGATGAATTCAAAGTATTTTTACTGACCACACAATGCAAAGGCTGATTCAAACTGGTCAGGCCCTTTTTGCTCCCAGTAGCTTTTTTTCTCCACCACTAAAGGGGCTTCCACATTTTCAAGCTGGAATGATTCAAACAGGCTTTTTCCTATGTGGTTTATTGTGATATGTTCTTTTAAAGATGGGGGGGCATGCCTGTAGGTGGTGTTTTGGTGATGTAGGCAGTTGAGGCATGATGTTAAGGACCAGGGGAACATGCCCCCCCACATTCTTTGCTTTCCTGCAATCATGCTATGAATTTTTAAATTTTAAAAAAATTTCCTACATATATGAGATTAGCACTATATCACCTTATTGCCAGGTAATCAATATTATTATTTCCCGTACTTAAGCCCCTGTCAGTTCCCCAGAGAACAAGGATCAGCAGAGGTGGGAACAGTGGAAGGAATGAAAGAAAGGAGGGCTGTGGGCTGGAATACGAATTGCATTGGATCCAGTATGAACAATGACCTCTCAAATCAATCTACACCCCCGTGTGAGCTCTGACTGTGATTTCAAATATTATACAGGCTGCAAATAAACCACAATAAAGCCAAATCACTCTGATCCAGCTTCCCAGTGTAGCTGCACCCTCTGTGTAGTTTTGATAGCAAAACTTATTCTTTGTTCCCCACGCTTACCTCACCAGACCTAACTGTTGCTAGGTATCTGATTTACTTTCTCTCTGTGGTTCAGTTTTAAACCTTTTCTTTCTCCCATGTGTATGGTGTGCGTAAGTGTGCATACATGCAATTTTGTGCAGGTGTGCATTCTGCCAGGACATGTTTATTTCACTCATTAAAAACATTTATTATGACTCTACTGCATGAACATGAATCACAACAAGATGGCAGTACTAGATAATGTGATGATCTCTATTCAGCACATGACTTCCGCTGGTGTCTCTGCCAGCTAGGGGATCTAACACACTGTCTCCAAAACTGGGACCAGGATTAGCCTGCCTGAGTGTTTTGTTTAGACTCACCCAGCTGCCTGGCGCTCTGTACTGCTCCACATTTTTGCTTGCGTGCCTTTGACTCCTTGACAGCGCTGGCCCCCTTGTGCCTCAAAAGTTGCCTTTCAGAGAAATGCTCTGACCATTACATCGGGCCTTTCTTGCCCTGTTCTAGTGTAGCAGGACACTCGCTCCGAAGTCTGAACCGCAGCAATGTTCTTTCCATAGCAAGTATGGTGCCCCCCCGCCCCACCGCAGCAGGGGAATCCTGTCCATCTGGAAAGATTCTGTCATGTAGCAGCTTAGTCCTCTCTGCCAGGCACAGCTGCCTGCCAGCCTAAACTGCCCCATGCCTACTGGACTGTCTTTCAGGGAAGTACTTTCATCTCTCCTCCTTTTGCTTCAATGATTGTTCATCGGAGCAGTTTTCTTCAACTACAGACTTTGGCGTTTCCTAGGGATTTAAGCAAGGCACCATCATACCTAAGCGGGTGGAGAGAGAACAAAGGCTGAAAGAATGAGCAAGACCAAGCACTCAGTTCAGTGACAGTGCCTTTGTGTTTTGTTTTCTTTGGGGGTTGTGGGGGGGAGCAAACTGTGTAGGTGTTTAGGATACAAACCCACAAAACCAGCTGCACAACATAGGGCAAGTTTATTCCCCTCTTTAGGTTCTATGAAGTCGCCAAAATCCACAAACATTAGTGAAGTTACGTACAAGCCTTTTCAGTTCAAGCCGTTCCACCCCCAACCCCATGAGTTTCCATGGCCACGCAGGGATTCAAGCGCAGGTCTCCTATGTCCTAGTCCATTACTCTGTCCACTACACTACAGTGGGTTTCCTCGTCAGTACAGTAATCCTAACACACTGACGGTTCCTCTTGAATTGGGGGTGTGAGCTTAAATTTAAAATTTGGGTGAATTCTAATTAGCCACAGTATGAAGTTCCCTTTAATTTTACCCGATGTTATTATCTGGGACTGAAGGAGGGGGAAGATTCATTCGTTTGTCTTATTCATGCCTTGTCCTACCTTGAAGCAGTTTTGGGTGGCATGCAGGATTCCTTGTAGGATGAGGTAGGTTAGGCTGAAGGATGGTGACTGGGCCAAGGAAATTCATTGGGGGGGACGGGATATGAATTTGAGTATTCTAATCTCCGCCTGATATCCTAACAAATACATTGCACAATTCCTCTGACAATTTAGTACTTAGAATTAGCATAACTGAGGCTAATAAGAAACTATGGCATCCCGATACATTGGAAAAAGGCAGATTGTGACAATGCACAGCTAAGTCAAAATCTAACAGCATGCTTTCTTTCCTAATGATCATCTTCCTTGTCATCTAAAAACACCAGGGCCCTAAATTGGAATCCACAGTATAGAACTGGAAAATGTGGATTAAAAAATGCTGCCATCTTAAAACTTACCAGAAAGAATGAAGAAGATTCCAGACACAAAGGCCAGGATGGTTCTGTGAGGTCGAATATGGCCAATGTTACTCAGAATGAATCCAATGAACATAAAAAAGAGGCTGACCAGAGGAAAGGGGGTGGCTGATCGAATCATCTCTACAAAAGGAGAGGAGGGAAAAGGATTAATACCTCTTGATCTAATCACACTGTGGCTGGGGAGGGGACACGTCTGCATGTGTAATTCATTGATCCCTTTGGTCTCTCTCATTTTTTAATTCTGCATGCTCTGTTTTTCACATAGAAACAGAAACTTGAAGTAAAATAGCTTGTGCTATTTTTGTCAGTCTGGAACCATCTTATTGCTTGAAATAGATTCCCTCTGATCGCCATATTACTCTTCTTGGGAAGATGTCCTGGGGATGAAGGCTGAACTAATCCAAGACATTGTGCTGCCCGAGGCAAAGAACGAGATGATCTCCCAGCAGCTCACTGGAATCTTATTTGAATTATGATGATGAGGCAGCATCCTCCATGACACACCTGATGCCAGCTGGCTAACTTGGGGAGTGAAGAACAGAGCATCTGGCAACCTCTCACGGCCACCTACCACTCCACAGCACCCAGTGCCTTGAGATGGCTTCCTGACGCTACCTAATGGCATAGCTGGGGCTTGGATATAAGGACTGACCTGGA